CCTCACAAAAAAGCGTATTTCTTTCAAGATTTATATCGGTCATCATGTAAAACAAATATCAGATCATGCAAATGTAAATCTTCTTTGTAGTGGTCATACACCTGGCTATACAAGCACTAAGCTAAGCTAGTTTACAGGCCTGCCACTGAAACAAAAGAAACAAATATTTCAAATAAACGGTACATAGTTAAAAATCCCAACTGGTAGGAAGCAGACCAGTTGGCTATTTACAAAGCGTGACCAAGGATTAAGTTTGTCAAGAATTCTTGTATCTGTTACTTCCATTGCGTCTTACGACAACTTAATTTCCGTTTGGGCTCGCTAATTTTCGGAAGTTAGTTAGTTACTTTCGGAATATGCTACAGCCATTGTCGCTATTTTCGAGGGATTGTTATTTTACGGTGTTTCCTTTCTGTTTGATATTTCATTCAGTGACGCTCACTACATTTAATAAGTATTTACTAAGTAACATCCACACTTTGAGCTGCATGTACCTGTATAATAGGATTGTTTTCTGGCTCTAAGCCATCCTGCCCTAAAGGTACNCTACAGCCGTTGTCGCTATTTTCGAGGGATTGTTATTTTACAGTGTTTCTTTTCTGTTTGATATTTCGTTCAGTGACGCTCACTACATTTAATAAGAATTTACTAAGTAACATCCGCACTTTGAGCTGCATGTACCTGACAGAGTGTATAATAGGATTGTTTTCTGGCTCTAAGCCATCCTGCCCTAAAGGTACCTCGGTACTACCGCATGTCTAGAACTGTTAATTTGTTAACCTCGTCACACACTAGTCGTCACGTTATTTGAACAATAACCTTTTATAGTCTAACGGTCTAAATCGTTGAACTGATGCTTCAACCCAGACTGTAAATGATATCATGAGTGCGATTATTACACATCAACGAAAAATTACGCCCGGTCCTACAATATAGTCAAGGAAGCCAAAAATGTAAGCTTCAAATGCACGGCTACACCATGCTAAGACAACCTTTCTTGACTTTACGAGAAAGAAAAAAAACACTGGTTTCTTCATGGAGGGAAGGGGGTAATAGGATCTTTACGCAGGGCTGGTGGCCCAGCTTCTGAATTATACCAGAAAGAACAATTACTTTTTTATATAAGTG